AAAAGTGTATCATGAGTCATCGTTTCTTCATTTCTATCCCGAAATTTAGTAAAAATTAATATATGATGATCAAATTTTATTCTACGTAAGAGGGATTTTATCCTGACGCATAATAAATTTTACCCTTTCAGTCCAGTAATTTTTATGTAGATAACAACGAAAATTCTAGAACGGTTGGTAATTTTACTAGTACAATAATTTTTACTCTACCTGCACGGTAATTTTTATTTTTATCAGGATAAAATTTCTCTAACGTAGAATAAAATTTGATAATCATATATTAATTTTTACTAAATTTCGGGATAGAAATNCATGATACACTTTTATAGAACGGTAGGGTAATTTTTATCAAAAATTTCTCTCCGTGTGTAAAACGTCATTTACGGACATTGTGATGAAAAATACTTTTACGCACTCGCATCGAAATATACTATTTTGTGATACCTGCCTGAAAAGTGCACTTTTCAAAACACTTTAGTGTGCGTAAAGTGATTGCTTTACACACGGCGTGCAGCGGATATTTGCAAGAGCGTGCGTGAAGTGAATTTTGAGTGCGTCAAGCGAAGCTTGAAGGAGAATCTACAATGGAACTATCAACATAATCGAAAAACAGTTGAATGATTGATTCAAACACTCGCACGCGTCGCGTTAATCCAGCGTTGCTTTATTGTAGACTCTCCTCTACGCATGCTCATGCATTTTACGCATTTGTGCACCAAAACAACCACTTTACCTCCACTACCATTTCGAATAATGACCTCGGCAGGAATCACAATAAAAGAGGATGCCTTACACGTGCGTCCGAAAAGTGGCACTTTACGCACTAGTAACACAATCAGTATATTTCGATGCGAGTACGTAATATACTATTTTATGATTTTCGGGTAAAGTAAAATTTTCGCACACTCCGCGCACACATTATGATATACACACCAGAATAGTATATTTCGATACGATTGCGGGAAAGTGTTTTTGGGCCCGTGGGAGGTTTATAGTACGAGCCGAAGGCGAGTGATATAATCCCACGAGTCTAAAAACACTTTTCCCGCGAGTATCGAACCCTATTTTTCATCACAATGTGTGGGAAATGGGGTTTTGCGCACGCGGAGCGTGCGTAAAATGTCACTTCAGACACAGCGTGGTGAAAAAGTTTTTTTCGGCCATATGACGAAATCCACTATTTACACAGTCGTATGGAAATATGCTTTATATTTTTTCCGTGTATTAAATTCATGTTGCCCAAATGCCTGAAACTCTCGTATAATTTCAAGTGTCTGACAAGCCCTGACCTCATCAAATTAATTCATTAAATATTAAAAGAATGTAAATACATATAATTTGAATGTTAACCATCATAAATATCACTGCATGATTCACCCTTGTAAATGTGTACAGCACCGGCACCCCCTTTCTGTTCCCAGGACGGCCCATCGCCCCAAATATCAGTCTCAAGCCCCGGCGAGCCCAAAGTCATAACGTTTTACCAGGCCCTGGAATCAGCTAGTATAACCAACGAAATAGACCAAACGACTGACAATGTACGTCACTCGCAAATTGATACGGTTCCACAGGTAGCGACCAATAACGACACTAGTGACCCTAACGTAACGCGTAACGCTAACAATGACACAACATCAATGATAGAGACAAGTGTAGCGTCAGTAGCAACGACTGATAGTTTAACCAATGTAGATGGTTTCCCAGTCCCAGAAACCACAGCCGCGATTATTACAACTACGTCCGCTAGTCCACCAGATACCACTGAAGCCGCTGATGTCAGCACAAGTGGTCCTGAAACTAGTGACTTGACAGCAGAAGTAATGTCTTCTGATTCCGTTGTTTCCACCATCGATCCCGCCCTTGAAACCACTTCAGTCACTTCTCAAATGCCTGAGGTCGATGTAAATACCGTTGAAAGCCTCAGCAATAGCTCTACCATTGAACTAAGTAATGAAGTGAATGACACAACAGACCCGACGATGACTGAAGCATCTGCAGCTGCAATAGATTCAACTCCAGAGATCAGTATGCTATCGGTAACTAGGGAACCGATGGAGATTCTCATGAGAAGTCTTATCGATTCCATGGTGGCATCGATAGAAACTACAACGGCTGATCTAGATAATTCGATCATCGAATCGTCAACAGTTTCTCCAACTACAGAAGATGTTCCTCTCATGGAGACATCTTCAGCTCCTGCAGCCGTCGAAATTGCAACGGAAGCTGCTTCAACAACTTCAGAAGGTACAACTGCTGCATCTATAGAAGCAACTACAGCATCTGCGACCGTAGAAACTGCAACAGAAGCTATTCCAACAACTTCAGAAGCCACGACTGTTGCATCTATAGAAACAACTACAGTTTCCGCGCCCGTAGAAACTGCAACAGAAGCTGTTTCAACGACTTCTGCTATGGAAACATCTTCACCACCTGTCCCTGTCGAGTCTACAACGGAATCACTCGCGACCACCCCCGAGGCCACCACCTCGTCTTTGGAGATCCTCTCTCAAATTCGGGAATCTACCACCACAAATCAGGTAATGGATTCCCAGGACGGCACAACTCCAATATCAACCGAATCTTCCACAATGGAAATTGACACAACCCAACTCCCCGAAGGCACAACCCTCCGCGATCTAAACTCATCCGACAACGACGTGAACCTCTCGGATATCGACGAGACATTCCTAAGCGAAATGATGAAGAGACTCATGAGTGTCTTCAACATCAACAACGGTTCCTCGCAGTCACAAAATCTCAAGGCGTCGTCCGGCAATGCCGACGATCCAGCCCAGATGTTAGGTGGCTTTCTAGATAACACAGATAGAGATCTAACAATAGAAGTAGAGACTCTAGGTCAAATGAATAATACCGTAGAAAATACAACTCTAGAAGCTCTAACGGAGCCCTCTGATGGGTCAGAAACAACACAAGCTTCACAAACAGATAACCCCACGACTTCAGAAGTCCCAAACGTCGAAACAATAACTCCTGAAGTCACTACATCATCTCCACCCTCAGAACCACCTCCATTACCAACCAAATTAGAAGAAACAACAGAAAATGAATCAACGACACTAACTCCTATCACAGAAATCTCAAATCCCCCAACAGAAAGCTCAACCGATCGCCCAAATTCCACTGATCCTACAACAACCGAACAAATCGCGACGACCCAGACCCCAGACACAACAGAGTCCCCCACACCGACAACCCCTGAAGATACAAATACAACCCCCTCTGATCCCACCACCCAGACAACGGCCCCAGAATCGTCGCCCCCTACCGACGATCCTAATATACTTGCCGGTTTCCAGGACCGAACGCCAGCAACCGCCCAAACGACGGCGAGTGACGAGCTCACCCCGACCCCAGCCCCACCCCCAACGACCCCCAATCCCCCAGATCCCCCCACCACCCTCTCCAGCACTATTCAGTCTGATAGTGCGACGACAGTTGCGTCAGAGTCGACTTCGTTGATGTCTGAAGACCCGTCTCAGGCGTCTGCTACCACGACCACGATGGCGCCAACGAACGGGGCCTCACCAGCAACAACTGGGGCCCCAACGACGCCATATTCAGGTCGTTTTGGCGCCACCAGGATGACCCCCGCCCCCAGATTCAGCTCTAGCTCGTCAACCCTAGTTCCGCTGAGGGATTATCATGTTTACGGAATTTATCCTAATAAGACAATCGTGAGGAAACGACCCGAGGACAACCTCATTGATGGCCGCAATGTGGACAGCCCTTACGTGATCTTTGGTATCTTCCCGGATGGAAAATTGGTTCGCAAGTACCCGAATGGAACGGTAATACCGGACCCACCGAGCAATCCGGTTGAAGTTGTCTTCTCGCTTAGTACTACCACAGCAAGCATAACTAACCGGCCAATATCAATTACGTCTAACATTGGGGATAACAGTCCGAATGGTTTATTTAATAAGCGTATTGTGGATAATTTAATGAGTTTACCTATTGGAGTCAGCGGTAATCGTAGCCAGCTAAATCTTGGACTGTCTGGTAACGCTATCACTATCGACGGAGATGAACCCAATCAGAATGACGTTTCCACTTTATTCCCGGGCGTTGGTAACGTCGGTAACCAGAGTACCAGCAATCAAATGGTATCATTTGCCTCTCTTTTTTAATTTGAAAAACTATTGTGACAAACAGTGATGCGACACTACTCTCTACAGTTTTTACTTGTTACTTACTGTGTTCGATTTATTGAAGTCTTTGTTTTTATTAACGCTTTATTGTTTCTTTTCATTTTTGTGTAATTCTGGTTTCTACTAAAATTCTTCTACTTGTGGCTCTGTTGGGGAGGGGTTAATGGAGATCAAAAGAAAAATTATATGTGTTTCTGATGGAAGTGGCGGAAGGTGATGAATCCCACAATTTCGATAATTCGCACATGAATTTCCAATAATTAGAGTGCAGTGATCGGGGTCTCGTGACACCTTAGCGAAAACTGCGTTCTACAAAATTTTTATTGAAAAGAATTAGACATGTTACAAAATTTTATGCAACATCGTGCTTTTCAGTGTAATAAACCTACACTAGTGAAAATTTTGGCTGAAATTTCCGGTAAACTTCTTCAAAATTTTTATTAAATAAGAGCTTCACTAAAATTTCAATCAATTTTGTAATGGAAAATTCACAGTTCGATGAGAAAATCAATGGAAACTGTAAATTCAAGTTCAATTATTTTATGAAAATTCATATAAAACGGAGAAATTTAGATAAATACATTCTTGAATTTACAAATAGTTGAAAATTCAAGTAATTTGGGAGAGAATTGCGCTCTACAAAATTTTTAACGAAAAAAATCATGAGCGAATCCACCAATTCTGTATATGAAAAATTGCCCCAACATTTGAAAAGATTTCTTCTGTTTTTAAATCGGAAAGTATAGTTCAAAAGGAGAAAAATGAGGGCAAACGGAGCTCTCTAGTGCTTCCCTGTGTAATAAATCTGCATTTAAAAAATTTTGGCTGAAATGTCCGATATTTTTCTTGAAAATTTTTATCAAGTGACAGCTCCACTGAAATTTCAATCAACTTCATATTTGAAAATTTTCAATTCAATGAAAAAATCAATGGAAACTGTAAATTTAAGTTCAATTATTTCACGAAAATTAATATAAATCAGAGAAATTTAGGTGAATAGATTCTTGAATTCACTACTAATTAAAAATTCAAGTATTTTGGGAGACTTGCGTCTTCCTACTGCTCAAAAATTAGTTATTTCTTTTGATTTTTCAGAGCAATTTGGAATTGCAACATTTTTCTCACTAAATTGAATTTAATATCGCTCCTCTACCCATGAAATTTCAATTTTTTCTGGCACTGCATCGGAAAATCGACGATCAATTTCAAGCACTTGTGATAGTGCTATAGAGTATTTTCCAAATATTTCCGGAACTAGTAGGTTTGGACGATAATGTCAGACATCGGTTTTTGCAGCGAATGACAGTGTCGACGAAAAAAGTTTCTAATGATTTTTGCTAGACCTTTCGGTTTTGAGAAAATTCATTATAAATCAAAGACATTTAGGTAAATACATTCTTGAAATTTATAACTTCATCATTTTGCTCTCTAAATTGAATTTAATGTCACTCGCCTGTCTGCGAAATTTCAATTTTTTCTGGCAGTGTATCGGAAAATCGATGATCAATTTCAAGCACTCGTAATATTCTCCAAATAGTTCCGAACTAGTAGATTTGGACAATAATGTCAGACAACGGTTTTTGCAGCGATTGACATCTACAAAAAAAGTTTCCAATGATTTTTACTATATCTTTTTGTTTCGAGAAAATTTATTACAAATAAGAAAAATTTAGGTAAATGCATTCTTGAATTCACAACTAATTGAAAATTCAAGTAATTTAGTAAATTTCCCTCTTCCTCCTGCTCAAGAAATTCCAATTCCATTGATTTTTCATTGAAATTTGTAATTTCATCATTTTTCGCTCTAAATTGAATTTAATGTCACGCGCCTGTCCACGAAATTTCAATTTTTTCTGGCAGTGTATCGGAAAATCGATGATCAATTTCAAGCATTCGTAATATTTCTACGGAATATTTTCCAAATATTTCCGGAATTAGTAGATTTGGACGATAATGTCAGACAACGGTTTTTCCAGTGAATGACACCTACAAAAAAAATTTCTAATGATTTTTGCTATACCCTTCTGTTTCGAGAAAATTTCTTACAAATCAGAAAAATTTAGGTTTATGCATTCTTGAATTTACAACTAATTGAAAATTGAAGTAATTTAGCAGATTTCCGTCTTCTTGCTGCCCAGAAATTTCTAATTCCATTGATTTTTCATTGAAATTTGTAATTTCCTCATTTTTTCCCTAAATTGAATTTAATATTATTCGCCTGTCCATGAAATTTCAATTTTCTCTGACAGTGTATTAGAAAACCGACTATCAATTTCAAGTACTTGTAACATAGCTACGGAATACTTTCCAAATATATCCGGAACTAGTAGATTTGGACGATAATGTCAGACAACGGTTTTTGAAGCGAATGACAACTATAAAAAAAGTTTCCAATGATTTTTGCTACACCCTTCTGTTTCGAGGAAATTTATTACAAATGAGAGAAATTTAGGTAAATGCATTCTTGAATTTACAACTAACTGAAAATTTAAGTAATTTAGGAGATTCCCGTCTTCTTGCTGCCCAAAAATTTCTAATTTCATTGATTTTTCATTGAAATTTATAATTTCTCTCTCAATTGAATTTAATGTCACTCGTCTGTAACTGAAATTTCAATTTTTTCTGAAAGTGTATCGGAAAATCGACGATCGTTCTCCAATTATTTTCGGAACAAGTAGATTTGGACGATAATGTCAGACAACTGTTATTGTAGCTTACGAAAGTATCTACAAAATCGTTTTCGATGATTGTTGCTAAGCCCTTCTGTTTCGAAAAAAATTGCGACCGATCCTCAAAATCCATTCCGCACTACAAATTTTTTCTCTCGTAAATATTTCGGAAATTAATGAGCACAGGAGAATTCCTCAGAAAGGCTGTACCGAAATCTGACAAGAATTTTCTCGTTGAAAAACTCTCCCAAACACAGTCATATCCGAGATACCGACAAAATAATCTACATGTCATCTTTCGCCTCATCTTCATTTACCCCTTCACCAGTGAATTTACGATTCTTATTTGCATTCTGCAATGTGTTAACAATTCGCCAGAAGAATGCCGATTAAATCCAATAATTTACGTAAATTTATTCGATTATCAAGTTACAGTATTGAATCAAGTGGCATTGAAATCTTCCAGGGACACAACGAAAATATCGAAATATGATACACCGTAACGGTGACATGTATATACCGACAATAATAATATTTATATTATTATTTATTGTAAATTGCTGTGAATATTCATCATGCACTTAAATTGTACAGGTTTTCAAAGATCATTGCACTCCTTCGCACCTTTCATTTTTACGTAGTTTTATGGCAAACCATAAATATCACTTTCATTCTCTTAGTCATCTTTCGATATTACACACTTTATAATGCACAAATGTCTCGCTGAATTTACATTATCTCCAGCAAACAATAACGCTTCCTCCCTACTTTGGCTTAAGTAGTAATAAATTGTCGATATTTATAGAGTGATATTCCGCTGAATTCGCAAATGGGATCGTTGAATGCGACAACAGAGATGGGATTATTGACGACAGAGGGACCACCATCATCAGCAACACCCTCCAACGTCAATCCGCAGGGTGGTCGTATTATTCAGGACAGAGAGAGGGACAAGGCCAGCAGGACTAAGGAGGCCGGAGGTCAACGCAGCAGCGTGTACATTGGACAGGTACTGCACTGTTGTTGTTGGCAAACAGAAAGAGAGAGAGAAAGAGATTTAAATAGAATGAAAACAATAAAAGTGTGGGGAGGTGAAAAAAGAAGAAAGAAATGAGTGGACCGTGATTTACGGTCGATGGAAATCGATAGAGGTGAAACGGCCACTGTGGCGCTTGATTTGTTTCAGGAGAAGTTCATCAACTACTGGAGTGATGATTCATCCAATAACAATGATTCGAGGGTCGTTAGTGTTAAGATTAATTCAGTTACGGTGAGTTCATTGGTGTTTATTTTTTAGGGAAACGTAATGGAAAGTTTCACTATGTTAAGGATATCCATGTACTTTGGCTATTTTTTCTCTAGTGAAATGCTTTTCTGGTTTTGTAGTTGAACATCGGAGCTTTCATTTAAGCCCCATTTGAGTGTAAACAATTTCAATTATTTATTTACAAACGACGAATGTTGAAAAAAATAATAATTCTGTGCAAAATGGAATTTGAATTACGCAGAGTATTCATGATTTATTATGATAATTATGATGATAATTTTTCAAATGCAATTTAATTGAGAAATTTGAGGATCCGAAATGGTTGAGTCTATAGTGTGGATACCAAACTGTAAAAGATACTTGGAAATCCTTAAATATGCGCTGTTTAAAAGTTATGGTACTGCACGTATGAAAGAATTTCATTTTACAAAATGCAGCGAATTCGCTTGCATTCTATGAACAATTATATGATTCTTTTGAACAATTCTATTAGTTTTTGGCCGATTCTGTCGAAATAGAAAAAAGAAATAGGATATCCAAGTACTTTCGCTGTTTTTTCTTGAGCGAAATCCTTTCCTACTTTTGTAGTCGAACATCAGAGCTTTCATTTGAGCTCCATTGGACCCTAAGTTTCCGGAAATTTTACAATGATTTTATTGTTTAAACTTTGCAACTCTGAATTTGAATCTTGATATTAAACCATTATAAAACATTTTAAAAATCTGAAAAAATAGAAAATCTATTTTTAGAGGAAAATTGACGAAATAACTTGGAAATTGCAATTTTTGAAAATTACGAGCATTTTCTACAAATAATTTGTAAACAATCAATTTCTCACAATAAAAAGCATTTGTTCGGAATCGTAACAAATTTATTCATATTGAGAATTTTACCAAAAATCGATTTAATGCCTAAAATAATTAGGTTTTGGAAAGTTTGCACCATTTCAATAATTTATTTATAAACATTAAATGTTGAGAAAAATAATAACTCTGTCTAAAATATAATTTTAATTATGCAGGATATTCACGATTTATTTCAAATTTTTCAAACGCAATTTAATTGGTAAATTTGATGATTGAAAATGATGAAATCTACATTGAGAGAAAAACAGCAGAGTTCTCTAACGAGTCAAAAAATACTGAAAAAGGATTTTTTTATGCCAAACATGCGAAGCGTGCACCGAGATTGAAACATCTATATGAAACAATCAATAATAATTTGTCATTTCGGCTGTTCAATAATCACAGACAAAAAATGAATTCTCAAATGAAATAATAATAACGATATGACAGCAATCTTGTAACTTAGGGACAAAATATTTCTAGATAAACTTCCCTCTATAAACGATATTTATATCTTGAAAAGGCACCGTCTTGTATGAATGATCCGCCTCTTCAACCAAATATTTCGTTGTTGTTGAAAGCATAGCAATTATTCATGTTTGACACTCTCAAATTCGAACCAAACAATTATTTTTCGCCACGGCGGGCGGAAAGGCAGATTTTCCTCGCCCTACGCCGTGACGAAAAATAACGTTCTCACCACGGGAGGTAGAATAAAGGACCCTTACCTACGTGCTTATCACGTAATTCTGCACGTGGGCACGACTCCTTTATTTTCCCTTCCTTGGTGGGAAATATACGATTTTTGGTCATTTTCAACCAACGATTTTGCTAGCCTAATCCTGGATATCCTTAATGTCGTTCTCCTGTCTATGAAATTTCAATATCATCTGGCAGTGTATCGAAAAATCCCGCGAAATCATCAAATAAATTGATACACATATTTGTAATCACCAGAGTGCTGTGAACGAGGGCCCAGCATCGAGCACAGGCCCACTGCCCCCCCTGGACATAATTTCAAAGGATCAGGTCACAGCGCCCCCAGGTTTCCCCTGGAAAGATCCGCTAGATCAGATCTTCGGTATCACAACCGAGTCCCAAGTGATTCGAGCATCAGTCGCCTCCAATACCATCGTAAGTATTCCCTACCCAACTAATACCAATTCCACCCACACTGAGCCAACGAATGAAGAGAGATAGAGAAGTTGAATCCCAGCCACGATGATTCCAATGTAGATATTATCAACGTCGGTCACATAATTATGTTACAGGACGAGCAGAGTCCATCGAGATCCCCGATCACTGTGCCTCCCATAAATCGGCTCCCCGAGGTCTTCACCCCCATGTCGAACGACGCTCTGTTGGCAAGAGACACTTCGATCACGACCACCACTGTTGCACCTAGTGTCTCTACCACTTTCAGTACTACATCTACGACCACCTTGGCAGCTACAACCAGTACTGCTACCACGAGGCCAACGACCACTACAACAACGACAACAACTGCGGTACCCAGTACTGTGCCAGCGACAATCAGCAGTACAACTTTGGATCCTACAACACGGTCATTTAGTACTGTCGCTGGACGGCCAGCACCCTTTGGAGCTACTTTTGATGATCTCGCCTTCCTCAATTCATTGGTAATTCTATTTTACTAGATATTACTATAACAGACTGCCTCACTGTAGATCTATGATTTAAGGCCTGGGTGTACTATCTTTCGAATGTTATCTGGATTTTTTTTATCCTTCGTAATCCAAAATTGTCAATTGAGTGGTACATCATGTAGAAATTCCCAAAAATTATGATAGAATGATAAAAAAAAAGAAAAAGTTCTGAACTTTGTCAAAGAGCGTTTTTAATTGGGATTCAGAATGAGTTGAAAAAAGTGGAAATTACAAATATCTGATTCGCTGTGGCAAATTATCTATTAGCTGTCATTTTCCATGGTGGATAACAAAACACTAACGCCTCATGGGAAGTGACAGCTAGGTATCTTAATTTTTAAAACAGTGGTATGTAGTCATTTACCATTTATATGTGAGAAAAGTGTGATTAAAAAATTCTCCAAATTATTACAACTTTTTTCAAAGAGCCTTTTCCGTAATGAATGTCTCCGTGCAGTGTGGGAAAAGATTTACGAAATCAGTCGTCCCCCTGCATGATATTGGGTGACAGGCCGCCATTTGTCATCGTAAATCAGATACATTTTTCAATTTCTTGTTATTCAACTTATTCTGAATATAAATTAAAAATGCTCTTTGAAAAAATTAAGAATTTTTTCTACTTTTTTTTGATTATTCATTCATAATTTTGCAAAACTTCTGCATGATGCAGGACTTAATTGACAATTTCAGATGACGAAAGACGAAAAAAAAACATCGAGATAACGTTCGAAAGATATACACCCGGGTCTTAAGGCCCGATTCCATTATCTGGATTGCTTTTTTGGTGGATTTTTATCTCGAAATTTCAACTCGATGCCCCGTCACTCAAAGACCCCCGACAATCATTAGTTCAGATTGAAAACAAGCTGCGCGAAAGAAGCCATTTGACAGATTACATACGACTGCTACTCTCCACGTTTTTTTTCTCCTGTTTTCATTTCTACCAATTTCATTGGTAGTAGGCTACCGAATAAATATCAATGTATGTTTTAAAAAAATGAAGGCATAAGGATTACCATTTTTTGAAAATATTAAAGTCAATCCCACTCATACTTCATGACAAAAAATGATTTTTCTTCTCGTGAATTTTGGGTGAATTGTTCCATCTCAAGAACAATCAAATATATCTATCTAAAATTCGATGTAGGAATGTTTCTTGACAATCCTAACTATAAGCCAAAGTTTCAAAAGGTTTTCCTCAGGTTTACAGATGTCATAATGCGCAAAAGTGAATTCCAACCAAAAAAATTGAAAAAAGTAAATATCTCTAAACTTTTCAATGGGATGGTACACATACTTTGTTAGATCTAGATAGATGACATCAAGACGGACATTTTGAAAAAGAAATGAAATCGGACCAGTGGTTTTTGAGATATTGAGCAAAAGAGTTTCACATACAAAGTTGATTATCTTCGAAACTAATGGTCCGATTCCGTTCATCTACAATCCCAAACTTTGTTATCATAAGGCCTAAAATCATACCAAGTTTCAAGTTTCTATTTCAATTATTTTTCAAGTTATCATGCATACAAGCAATTTTAGTGAAGAAATGAGCAAACGAGAATAAAACTACATTGCTCGGAGCGGAATGACCTTTTTTCGATTCGATTGAATAGATATCATGACGAGTATTTTGAAAACAAAATTGGAATCCGTCACATGGTTAAGGAGATATCGGAAAAAAACCATTTTTGAGGAATGGCGATATTTCAGGAACCGCTCAACCGATCGAGCTGAAATTTAGCACAAATTTGACCATCAGTAGTACCAATTAGCAACCAGAAGTTCAGCGTCTTTGCTTTCATCGTTCTTGAGTTCGCGTTTCATGACATTTCTAGCTATTTCCACCGAAAATTAGGAAATCGAAAAAAGTCATGATTACAAAGCTTCCATTCAGAAGCAAAAAATAATTGTTATTATTCTTTTAAAAGCCCGCTACTTTGATTGTTCTCCAGTGGGTCCTTTAACATTTTTTTAAGTCGAGGAGACTCCATGCAGTTCATTTTTCAATAGTAGAGCTTTCGAAACGCATGTGTATCCCTAAAAGATTTATGGATTTCACTTCAAAATGTCAATGAAGTTTAGAGAGGATCCACTCCTTTAAGCTTCATTGATATTTTGAAGTGAAATCTCTGAAATTTCTAGATTCAAAGGTTAACAGAGTCTTGAATCTATCACAATCGTGATTCAACCCATGCCTCCATAGATAGTTATCTCATCCTTATACCCGATTCACTAAAATTCACGCATTTTACGAATTCGAAAATGCGTGTATGAATAGATTACAATCATTATTTGTGGACGTCCGCATGAAAAGGAACCACTTTGTCGATATGGTGTTATGTATTATCTGATAATATTGGTAACGTTCCGCATATTTTGAGCCCAAAATGATCTTCATAGGGTCAAAAATGACGTCGCTGGAAAAGATGAAAAAATTTAACATTGGTGTAAATGGGAGTTGCTGTGACAAAAACGTGAATATCTCGGAAATTAGAACCGACAAAGTGGCCCCTTTTCACGTGGACGTCCACATTTTATGAAATTGAGCGATATCCATTCTAAAGCTTATTTCCAATGGATCAATCCAAATGATTCCCTTACACACGCTGAAGTAATCTTCCGCCTGGTGACATTTGTAAAAATCAGCTTAATTGACAGACCAAATGCATTCAACCCCGAAGTGGTAAAACGTAACGAGCTAACTTTTCACATCCCGTTGGCCTTGAAGTTAAAACTGTAATCTGAATAACTATTCAGGTGATGAATAAGTTCATAAGAAATAATATTGAGAGTCACTGGCTGTTAACATGTTCTTTAGTGTTTTCTTGTCGAGTATAAACAGCAACGATTCGAGTGAGATGATTGTCAAAACTATCGATACATCGATATGCCATGTTTTTTGGTGAAAAATCGTCTATAAACTTTCGAACGAAATTGATCGGCAGAGTATTTTTATTTATTCCGATACTCAACTGAGCATTTTCTTAACCATGCTTGGTACAACCAGCCCTCAATGAATTTTCCGGTTCCATTATATTTCGCCGCTCCACAGCAGAATATGCAACTACTTGAAACCAGTAAAAACATGCGATTCTAACAATTCCTATTTATTCAGTTACAGACGAATCAGAACGGGAACTCGATCAGCAGTTCCACCCCGAAAACCCTCAGTGACGTCGAGAGACTGCTGGCGAACCGAGTAAGTACATTATGCCATTACCCTCACCAATATTTTTCTGCTTTAAAATATAGTACATTATGCAACTAGTGCGGAAAGCAGGCGGTTACTCACGAGGGCGGCGCAGCCCTTAGGCTTTATTGAATTCTAATGATCAAAATAATGTCAAGGAAACACAGAGAAAAATTATTTCTGCTTTTCAGAGACATGTCACTGAATTCACCGAAACTTCACTGCAATTTGGTGATTGATTTCTAGAAATTAGTGATAAGTCATTGAGAATTCAGTAACGAAAATGAAATTTTTCAATCACACCTTTTTATAATTACTTTTTTAAATAAATGTGATCTTTTTTCTTCAGTGNCCCTCGTGAGTAACCGCCTGCTTTCCGCACTAGTTGCGTAATGTACTATATTATCACTTAGGTCCAGTTGTACCAAGTTCTAATAACCGAAAGCCCTAGGGTACAAGTTATCCTCGAGGTAAATTATGTCCTAGTGGTCATAATTTTTGAATATTTAACCGAAAAAATAATTATTATCTATCCTGTAGCCTCATTTGAGTTAACACTGATTTAATCACAGGATTAATTACATTTTTTGTCTCTCTCGGATAAATTTTAGATGCTCCCTCTGGTAAAATAAATTATCGAACTTCCAAATTTACATTTTTTTCAACTGTCGATTTCGTTAGCTCTTGAGTGGTCGCCATATGAGGGAATCGCAGCAGTTTTTGGATTTTTTTTCTCACATGAAAGTTTGTAACTGAAAAATTTATGAAAAATTGTATTCCTATTCTCAACTAAACCGAAGGCATTGACAATTTTTTTTGGTCCATACTCGTATCAATCAATTATCAAAATCTTCTGAAAACGCGACTCGCAAAAAATCCTCGTGTTTAGCCTCTAAATATCAAAATTCTGTACCTAATGAAATAGAATTATAGAATTATTCGTCTACTATTCTTATTTGATATCCCCATTTATTTTTTCTCGGAGGTTCAAAATTACCCGTAAACTACAAATAAACAATTTTTTCCAACTTTTTTGTTTACAAAAATGGTAAAATACAGGGGGCTGCGAATCGCCTCCTGTGCGACCAACAACATTTTTTGAAAATATTAAAACCAATCCCACTCATACTTCATGACAAAAAATGATTTTTCTTCTCGTGAATTTTGGATGAATTGTTCCATCTCCAAGTCTCCACTGGGCCTTGGGACCCATTGAACAGTTTGTGATATATGACGGAATGTGGGAATAACTAGGGCACATCGCGGACCCGATGGATTTTGCCCCGTGTAACCACGAAAAACTGAATTTTTTCCTCTTTTTACTTTTAAAATGCTCCTTGCGCCATAGTTTTCATTTTTTTCGATTTTAACTTTTTGTTTCAAAATGGTCGTTAGACTCCAAAGAATAAAGTTAAGCATCTGTTTTACGCTATTTGCAATAGATCGTGAATAAATGAATTTTGAATTTCATAAATTTTCTATTGAACCCACCTTTTCGCTTCAACGTGCCATTTTTTTTGTTCATAAAAATTAAATTACGCATGATTACAATATTCAATTACTAAAAACAATGAATTTTCAGTTCTACTCTAGAGACGCGAAAAATTTATAAAATTCAAACTTCATGATCTATTGCGAATACAGTAAAACGGGTGCTTAACTTTATTCTTTGAAGTATAACGAACATTTTTAAAAAACGCTAAAATCGTAAAAACAGGAAAAAATGAAGTTTTTCGTGGTTGTACGGGGCAAAATCGATCGGGTACGCGATTTTCCCTAGATATTCCCATATTTCGTCATCTATCACAAACTGTTCAATGGGTCCCAAAACCCAGTGAAGACATTTAAATTTCACCGACTTATCCCCTTAAAAGCAAATAAATGAAGGTGTCAAGCTTTGCAGATTAGAAAACACGAGTCATTTTTCTGCAAAACTTGATGTCCTCGTTTATTTGCAGGGTAACTTGATCGAAATATACGATTAGTTTTGGAGGTCGAGTGGTATTTGGAGGATAATTTCTGGAGGTCAGATCTAGCCTAGCAGAGTGCAGTATTACGATATTGGATAGTTATTTGTAAAAAAAGCAATTGCAAAGCTAGGGGGAAATATTCAAAGGCTAAAGGGAAATTATCAAAAGGTAGGAGGAAATTCGGGGTATTTATGTAACATCACGCGACTTGCAAAATTATGCTATATTTTCCGAAAGCTTCGTTGTGAACGAATGAAGGTGTCAAGTGTTGCAGGCTAAAAATTTTACCTGCAATTTTTTTATTTATCAATTAAAAAAATTAAAAAATTAAAATTTATCAATTTTTTTTTAATTTAGCAAAATTTTGAGCCTGCAAAACTTGACACATGCATTTTTTTTCCGCCAAGTTCTGCCAAATTTTTTAACAGCATGCCCCGGTAGCACGTCTTTTCAACTAGGCGACATTTCAACTACGACATTTTAACTACGACATTTTCACTGAAATTTTCAACTACGCCATTTTAACTGAGATATTTCAACTTGTGTCATTTGAACTGATCAATTTGAACTACGACATATCAATTGATTTTTAGTAAAATTTCTTTTTTTTTAGTTAGCTGAAATTTCTCATTTTTTTTTAATGCTTTACTTTTTAACAGAGAATGTAATCCTACTCAGTTCAATTATTGAACTAATACATCGATTAATATCATACAAAGATACAATTTATTTTTTTTATCAACAATTATAAGAGATCAATAATTTACAACGTGACAATAGTTGAATGCGTAAGTGTCAAATTAATCCCACTCAATCACGGCATCGTGTAAACGTTTTACTGTTTTCCGAGTAACTGAATTGATTAAATTGTATTTCGTGTGGATTATCCCTTCTCAAATGCTTCGGAGATTGATGCAATATAATTTCATAAGGATTATCCTCTCCAAGTTCTTCACCAAATAACGGAGATAGATGTGTGAATTCGTAACCGCACAAATATTTTGTTTGAATTGTTGACGTTTTAAGAGATTTAAAGATAGATTTTCTAAGAATCTCATCTCACTGATGTGTATTTAAGGTTGAGCAGTTAAAATGTCGTGGTTGAAATATCGGTAGTTGAAAAAGTGTTAGTTGAAATGTCGCCTAGTTGAAAAGCCATGGATTCTGTGCCCCCCGATTGGTCTGAATCTGATGTCCAGAAATTATTAATCCCAATCTTACGCAACCCACATCCGCCATTTCGGACTGGTTATTACCAATCAATTTCCAGTCCTCTACGCACTCACTGGTACCTGGAAACAGAGCGAAGAAAAAAAATTATATAAAACTCTGAGTCACGGATATCGGAGGTGGTGGGCTTACTAACATAAGATCAATAGTGATATGAAATCTGCACGAGTCTGACTGTGGGGTCGTGGCTTCTTTCGAAATCAGCCCGACACCGACATAAAACCATAAACACAGCTATTAGCGTCTTATGCGACTAGTCACCGGTGAACGGTCGACAGCGGCCTTGTCTTCGTCCTTCGCAACGTGAGGCAGTGACGATTGTGGTAAAGTCTCAACAATCACCAGATCTACCATATTTCCTCTCGTGCATTTAAACTTCCCCACTTTTTCTTCCCCTCATCATTATCACGACTGCTAATCATCATCGCGAAATCAACACCAGACGCCAGACAACTCCTTAAATTCAATTAATTCAAAGTTTACGGACAGTATCATACATTACGCTGGATCTCTCCACGCGTTTATTTAAACGATCAGAATAAAAGTGAAGCATAAATTAAGGAGATTAATGATTCAGTCAAATCCCATGGATCGGTGATCAAACTGCAAGAATGTTGTTCTATGAAAATACAATGACATGAAAAAGATTAATAAGAACTGCCGCTTGTCTAGGAAACTAACGGTAGATCGGTATTGGAATAATGAAACATTAATCGATTATCTGTCGCGAATTCTATCAATAGTTCAATCTCATTTCAGTAAAGAATATCTTTAAAAATGATGGTGCGATAGTGGGGGTGGAATCACTGGAGAGCTAGGAAAATTCCGTGAAATACTCTGCAAGATAATTTATTTCACTTCACCCAGAAAAATGATTTATTCGAATAAAATGAAGTTTATTTTAATCAAATAAATCAGTTTACTTAAACAGTACCAAATCAGTTTTTTGTTCAAGTTAAATAAAAAATTTTATTCAAAGTTTTGTTTATATTAAGTGATGGATTTTTGTTGTATAAATAAATCTTCATTTGATCCAAATGAATTACTTGCACATATCAAATAAACAGTTTTCTTATATCAAGAAAATTGCTTCATTTGGATCAAAAAATGGTTTTCGTTGAACTAAATAAACATTTATTTGTATAATAATTTATTATCGCTTTGAGGTGGTAATAAACTCGAAAAAAATTAAACGAAAAACATGCAATAATTATTAGGGGCTGTACATATACAATACATCACGTAAGACATTTATGGCGAAAGGGAGGGGGGGGATTTCTGTTCCATGGTTTCAGAGGGGATTTCTGGTTCCATGGTTTATCAGAGAGACGATTGTGAAAGAAAGTCGTATCAATCAAAAATTGGATCAGAATCATTCTAAACATGGACAAACAAATTTAATACAAAAACCTATCGAATTCGTTAGAAAATTCTATTCAAATTCTATTAGTTTTTGGCCGATTCTATTGAAATGTTCAATAGAAAATATTCAGTAGAAAAAGTCAATAGAATTCAATTTTTCTACATAACTTATTCTATTGAGATATTTTCTATAGAATTTCCTCAGTTCAAATTTTGTAAGTTTTTTCGTTTGATTTTCTTGATGAGAAGAAAAGAAAAATGGAGTGAAAAAACTTAGAAAATTTGAGTCGAGCAAATTCTATAGAAAATATATGAAAAGAATAAGTTATATAGAAAAATTGAATTCTGTTGACTTTTTCTATTGAACATGTCAACAGAATCAGCCAAAAACTAATCGAAAGTTCAATAGAAATTCAATAGAATTTTCTAACGAATTCGATAGGTTTT